TCATGCGTTTTTGTTTTCACAATTTCATAGTTACACAGCACTGTGGTCCCCTGGTCTATCCCACTACCCAAAGTGTATTTTTTGGCAAATCCTCACCTTTTACCGTCATTTTTGGTCCTCCATTTGTGGCCTTTTGGCTTGCCGCCGTCTTTTGCCGATCATACTCATCTTTTCTTGCATTTTACTCTTCTCCCACTACATGAGTTTCCTCTTCATTCATTCTTTTCTGTTTTTTTTCTTAATGTCTTGGATGTTTTGATTATATAAATCTACTTTATATCAAATGAGTTGATTGGTTTCACATTTTGGACGTTTTGCATTGTTTATTTTGAGTATTTTATATGTTTAATGTAACATCCCAAATTTTATTTGGGTTTGTAAGTGGTTAATTATAGAAAGTTTGGATTAAATCTTTGATCATGGAAATAAATAAAAAATATAATAATATATCCAAGAAAAAGAGATATTTAAAAGAGAATCAAATAAAATAAAATAAACACAAATATATATATAACTGTATACATACTATATTAAAAAAAAAAAAGAAAATAACAATGATTTATTAAGAGTGTGTGTGTGTGTGTAAAATAAAAGGTGAAACGGAAGAAATCCAAAATATCCCAAACAACTTGGTTATCTTGAATATGTAGTAGTTTTAGTAGGAATATAAATGTATATACGTATCATATCGGTTTAAGTTTTTTTTTGGATATATTTATGTTATATATATACATGTTTTAAATGATTCCCTAGAATTCTAAATAATTAGATAAGAGAAATTAAATTTGTCTATTTATATACATGTATATATGTATATAGGTAGCCTAAACCTAGTTTTTCATAGGTGCTCTCTTTCAGTCTTTTTTCTGCTGTCAAATACCTCTCCTCCTCCTCTAGTCTTTCTTTTCTTTTTCTCTTCCCTCTCATTAACTCCCCCTTTCATCATATTACGTAGAGTGCTACTTGGCTCTCTTTCTTTTTGCCTTTCCTTTTCTTGAAATTTACGTGGCTATATATATCCCAGGTATAATGATCTTCTGAATTCTCAATTTTCTGCAATTGTAGTCCTAGCTTTTAGATATATATATATATAACTTTCTCCAGATCACGTTATACTGTGAATTGACCTTGTATGTAGCTTTATAAATTTACATGGGTTACCACACTACTAGAAAAAAGACTTTTAACGTCGCAAAATAACGACGGTTAAGCAGAAAAACGACGTGGAAAAAAAGGCGGTGGCATTTTTGTAAATAAAATGAAGAGGGGCTGAACTTTCCACGACGGTTTTCTTAAAAACCGCCATGGAAAGTGTGTTCTTCTAAACCCCCGGCGCTCGAGTTTGCTTCACTTTCTTTCTCATTTCTTTAGTGCGCCATGATCCCCCTTTGCCCTACCACCGAAAAACTGCCATTACCGGCCATTCCCGCCACTATCCCACTGTTTAAACTCCTCCATTGAGCTTGTGGTGCCTTGCCGCCGTCCGCCGCCGTTCAAACGCCTCTCATTTCACCTCATTCTTGCTCAGCCGCGGTCCCCTCCGTCCCACCACCAAAAACCGGTCATACCCCACACTATCCCACCGTTGAAACTCCTGCATTGAGCTTGTGGTGTGTCCGCCGCCGTCCACCGCCGTTCGAAGCCCTCACTTCGCATTTGAGTCTTCTCTGCTCTCTGTGAGTATCCTCTTCTTTCATTCTTTTCAATTTTTCTTGTTTTATTGAATATTTTGGCCATGAAAATCTGTTATATATGAAATGGGTTTGTTAGTTTTACATTATGATTGGCTTGTATTGTTCATTTTGCATTTTTTATGTGGTTGAACTGTGGATTGGTGTTGATTAGTGGGTATTGGATGTGAGAAAACCTTAATTCCTTCTTATATACTGTATTAGAAACATGTTTAAATGTTTGGAGTTGACTAGTTGTGAAGTTTTTAAATTTTTTAATAATTTTTTGATATTTATTTCGAATTTTTGGTAATTTTCTTGTAATAAATATAAGAATTTAGTAATAAATAATCTGTTTGCTATTTTGTATTTTTTTTCTTCGTTATGAATTTTGATTGATAGTAAAGTGTTTAAATAATCTGTAGAACAATGGATCGTAGTTGGATGAAAGCTAAGAGAATTAGCAAAGAATATGAGGATGGGGTTGAAAAGTTTCTTGAGTTTGCTCAGAGAAATGCCCCTAGTAAAAGAGATGGATTGTATTATTGTCCTTGTGTCAAATGTTTAAACAATAGTCGACGGAGTATTTCTGAGATAAAAGAGCATCTTATCTGTGATGGGATAAATTTGAGGTATACAAATTGGATATGGCATGGAGAAATTAGAAAGACTACACTGTCTGCAAATGAGAAGGTTGTGAATGAAGACTTTGGTGATAGAATTTCGGATATGTTTCGTGATATAAGGTCTGAATCCTCTACACAGTTTTCTTCCACCTTGGAAACTTTGTATAGTGATGCAGAGACACCTTTATACCTGGGGTGCAAAGATGATTACACAAGATTGATAACCGTATTGAAACTAATGAATTTGAAGGCAAGAAATGGTTGGACCGATGCTAGTTTTATGGAATTGATTGAATTGCTGAGTGATATTCTTCCCAAAGGGAATTCACTTCCGAAACGAATGTATGAGGCAAAAAAGATTTTGTGTCCGATGGGTTTGGAATATGAGAAGATACATGCGTGTCCTAATGACTGTATATTATTCAGAAATGATTATGAAGGGTTGAATAAGTGCCCTAAATGTGGGACTTCAAGATACAAAATGAAGAAAGATGATGGTGATTATAATGAGATGACTAAAGGTTCTCCTTCAAAGGTTCTGTGGTATCTTCCAATAATACCACGATTTAAGTGTCTATTTGCTAATGCCACAGATGTAAAGAACTTGAGATGGCATTTTGATGAGAAAATATGTGATGGAAAGCTTCGTCACCCAGCAGATTCTCCTCAATGGAAAACAATAGATCAAAAATTTTCTCAATTTGGTGGCGAGCCAAGAAACCTTCGGCTAGGGCTTTGTACGGATGGAATTAACCCATATGGTAATCTTAGTAGCACACACAGTGCTTGGCTAGTGCTCCTCGTAATTTACAACTTGCCTCCTTGGTTATGTATGAAAAGAAAGTATATCATGCTATCTTTGATGATCTCAGGGCCAAAACAACCGGGAAACGATATCGATGTGTATTTGGCACCTTTGATTGATGATCTGAAGAAATTATGGGAAGAAGGTGTTGATGTGTTTGATGCATATAAACAAGAGACCTTCAATTTACGTGCCATGATCTTCACCACGATAAATGACTTTCCAGCATATGGAAATTTGTCAGGATACAGTGTTAAGGGGCATAAAACATGCCCGATATGCGAAGAAGGCGCCCATTATATGCAACTTAAACATGATAGGAAGACAGTATACCTTGGTCACAGAAGGTTTCTTAGTCGGTATCACCCTTACCGTAGATTGAAAAAGGCATTTAATGGCTCACAAGAATATGAAATGTCTCTAAGACCATTAACTGGAGAAGAAGTTTATCAGCGGGTGGAGGGAATTAATGTGGTCTTCGGTAAGAAGAAGAAGAAGAAGACTGTCGGTGAGAGAAATATATGGAAAAAAAGATCTGTCTTTTTTGATCTTCTATATTGGCAAAGTCTTGATGTGAGGCATAGTCTAGATGTGATGCATGTGGAGAAGAATGTATGTGAGAGCCTTGTTTGTGCCCCTTTTGACAACAAAGTTTACTGGTTCGATTCACTCTATGGAAGTCCATCCGAAGAAACCAAAGATGTCATCGACACGTTAGTTTTTATTTATATATTTATTACTTGTGAAGTTTATACAAGCATGCTCTAATATCATTTTCTCTTATAATGTTGATAGGGCTTTTCATACTTTTAATGTTGTGGCGATTAAACAAAATAGACAAGTACCAACATGGATTCTTCCAAAGGTATATGTTGTTTTGAACTAACTTTTAAACATTTTTGGATGAATTAAAGTTAATGTTTATAATCAATAATGTCTAATATTCAAATTTTATATCTTATTTTTTAGTACCATTGTCAACAAGGACATGTTGAATGTGGATATTATGTCATCCGCTACATAAATGACATAATTGAGACAGGAACGACTGAGAAATTAGACGAGGTAAAGATGAGTTACGTTGCATGACGTTCTTCAATTCATTTCATATTTTTGACTAAGTTTACTATGTTATTTTTGATTAACAGATATTTCAAAATACTGCGCCATATCTCATGGATGACATCAACTTGATGAGGGACACTTTGTCAACAACATTGGTAGAAAAAATTGAAATTTAGCTTTCAAATAGATAGGTTATTTCTCAAAAAATTCATTGTTAGATGTTTTCTCTCAGTTCCCTCTTATATGTACATGTTCATGATTTCCATTGTACAGAGAAGTAGTTACTTCTATTTCAGAATTGTTGGACCTAGCTAGCCAATACATGTTCCTTGGTCTTAATTAACCACCTAGTTCTATTATATTGGCTGGTTCCCTATTTTCGAATTGTGTAAAAGAAATTTCAATGCTGTATATATATCAACTAGCTAATTGATCTTGTTCTGCGTGATCTGCACTACCTACATTTATTTGGAACTGTAGACTGCAGGGTGGTAAAAATGAAAATCAAGCAAAATTTTTTTTTTAAAAAAATGTATTTTTAACGGCGGTTATATATATAACCGCTGTTAAAATAATATTCCACAGCGGTTTACCTAAAAACCGCCGTTGAAAGTCAAATTTCAACGGCGGTTTTTATTTTAACCGCCGTGGAAAATCAATTTTCCACGGCGGTTCAAAACCGCCGTGTTTTCTTTACCTTTCAACGTCGCCTTTATCAACTTCGCCTTCAAAACCGCGATGAAAAGCCACTTTTAACCGCTGTGAAAAGCCTTTTTTCTGGTAGTGCCATTTGATTCCTTCTCTATTTCCACTTCTGTTTGTCACTTTTCCTTCATGTACCTTGTCCTTCCTTGTCAGATGTCATAAGTCCCATGAAAACACACAATAAGATATTCTTGTATATTAATGTTACCCTTAGACACTAGTACCTTACGGCATGTTTCCTATCCCTTTTGCATTCAAATGTCACGTTTTGATCCTAGGATTGCAGTACCTTTGATTAAATTATTTTAATGCTATCCCTCCTCCTAAACCCACATACACGCACATTATATGTGGGTGTGTGTGTGTGTGTGTGTATAATACATGATATGAGTCTAAACTATGATTTAAAAATTTAGGAGCTATAAAAGATGGGGTTTTGCAAATTTAATGTTTGCAATCTGCTTATTATATATATTATTATGAGTTATAACTTCAAAAAAAAATTTATATAATCCTAATCATGTGAACCGAAATTAATCGTTTTGGGTCATTTGGGAAAATTTTAAGGCTCTAAAAATTGCCCAAGTATTAATCAATAATAATATTCTTATAAAATTTTACATATAAGAATTTAATGCTCTAGGACACCTTTAGAGTAATTCAGGATAAATTGCTTTGTAGTTCAAAGTATAAATTAATAGTTTGCTGTGTGTGATTTTTGTAGACTCTCATTGAGAGCCTTATTGATTGGGATTTGCTGATTGACTACTTGTGATCTTGAGGATACCAGATAACTTGGGGTTTTTTTATGTGTGTGCAATCTTTATCCATCATGATTAAATTGGTATTAACAGTAGTAGATACACATAATTCGATCAGCTTAATAGATACAAATAAATAAATAAGACTAAAAAGGTGAAGGAATAAAATTATATTATCTTCTATGTTATTTGAATTCTCCTTTAAGCATGAATGTATTTTGGTTATTTTTGTGAAAATTTATGGTAATTCGTTTTCTTTCAAGCATACTTGCATATACTGGATTTGTTATATATTCATGACATGAATAGGCAGTTGGACTTGGGAGTTTATGATATTGATATATGTGACAAATTGTGACCACGTGGTTTGCCTCCACTTAGCGCAAAGTTGTTGGCCTTTTAAAGTCCCGTTCCTTATTACTTACCTGGCCAAGTTTGTAGAGGGGAAACGTGGGATAGTGACACCTCTTGGTTCTTTTAAGGAGGGGGTCCATAGTCTAGGCTTGGGCTCTGTATCTTTGGCCAGATACATTCTAAGTACTGGAGTAGCTTTGGTCAGTCCAGTGTGTGAGCCAGATAGTGTATAAGCCTATGGTTCCAGTCAGCGGAATAAGGTTGGATGGAGCAATAAGGGAGGAAGCATCCATTGCACATGAACATGGTATATTATTAAATTAGTTACATATTTTGCTAATGATTATTTAAGCTGTTGCCATATTTGTTTGCCTAGCTAATATGAAAATGTTTGGGTAATGGTTGTGTCTACATGGTTGAGCTCTGGGTTACTGAGACGTTTGTGCTCACCCCAATTGTTTAACATTTTTCAGGTGACAATCCTTATAGGGAGTAAGGGAAGGTACCAGAGGAGTGAACTAGTGGCTCTTAGACTTCTCAAGTACATGCTGAGTTGATTTGATTCTTTACTATTTGCCATGACCCTAGGACACAAAATCATTATTTTGTTAATTCCTTGAATTGATGGACTTTAGTGCTTTATTTCAAAATTTCACCATGGTTTATGTTATGTTAGACTTTGAGATTGCAAACTTAGATAATTATGCTCGAATTATATTATAGGTTTTATTGCTCATGTTTATTTGATGTAGTAGTTAAAAGGTTGAGTCTTTGAGTGTTGACTTTATTATTGAGACCTTAAGATTAAACTAGTTTTTACATGGTGTTCTGAGTAGCTTAGGAAATTGGGTGTTACATTTGAGGGGTTGATTGGTGCATTTGGAATTAGAAAACCGCAATTACTTCCTATACACTGCATTAGAAACTTGTTCAAGACTTCAAAGTTGATTAATTTTTAATTTTGTAATTTTTGAATAATTTTATGATATTTTATTTTGAATTTTTGTTAAATTTTTGTGATAAACTTTATTATTTACCAATGAAAAATATTTAAGTGTTTTGGCCTTTTTTTTTTTGTTAAGAACTTTGATTGATGATAAAGTGTTGTTTGAAATTTCATGGCAAATGGATATTAATTGTGTTCCTGTTTTGGATTCAAAAATTTTAGCTTTAAGAGAGTATCTTTTGTGCTTGGAGTTGGTTGGTAATATTTGAAATTAGATAAATGCAATTACTTCCTATACACGGTATTAGAAACATGTTTACATCTTCAAAGTTGATTAGTTCTTAAGTTTGTAAATTTTTAATAATTTTTTTGATATTTTATTTCAAATTTTTGTCAAATTTTTGTAATTTACTTTGAGATTTACCAATAAATAATCTATTAAGTGTTTTGGCCAATTATTTTTATTTTTGTTATGAGCTTTGATTGATGATAAAGTGTTATTTAAAATTTCATGACAAATGGATATCATTTGTGTTCCCATTTTCAATTTAAAAGTTTTAGTTTTAAGAATCTTTATTTATTAGATTGGTTTGAGATTGTTGCTTTCATTTTGTTAGTTATAGTTGTTCAAATGTATCTTGTATTTGTTTTTTATATTATTGGTTAGTTGATTGATTGATTTTTCTATCATTTAAATAATTTAGGATTCGTTATATTTAAGGAGAAATTCTGTAAAAAAATTTATAAAATAAAAAAGAAATTCCCTTAACTTGTAATTAAGTGTTAGTTAATTTTAATTTATTGACTAACTCTTAATTATTTTATTTATTTGAATATTTAAATTAAGCAGTTGGAATTGAGCTTAATAACTATACTCATTGACTCTATAGAACAATGGATTGTAATTGGATAAAAGCTAGGGGAATTAGCAAAGAATATAAGGATGAGGTTGAAAGGTTTCTTGAGTTTACTCAGAAAAATGTCTCAAGTAAAAGAGATGGCTTGTATTTTTGTCATTGTGTTGAATGCTTAAACAATAGTCGGCGGAGTATTTTTAAGATAAGAGAGCATCTTATCTGTAATGGGATAAATTTGAGGTACACAAAGTGGATATAGCATGGCAAAATTAGAAAGACTACTCTGGAAAGGAGAAAGTTGTTTTGGTGATAGAATTTTGGATATGTTCTGTGATATAAAGTCTGAGTCCTTTGCTCATATGGAAGCTTGTGTAGTGATGTAGAGGTGCCTTTGTACCCAAAGTATAAAGATGATTACACAAGGCTAACAAGCATGTTAAAGTTGATGAATTTGAATGCAAGAAATGGTTAGACTGATGCTAGTTTCACTGAATTGCTTGAATTGTTGAGTGATATTCTTCTAAAAGGGAATTTATTTTCAAAAGGAATGTATGAGGCAAAGAAAATTGTGTTCGATGGGTTTGGAACATGAGAAGATACATGCATGCCCTAATAACTGCATATTGTTCAGAACTGAGTATGAAGGATTAAATAAGTGCTCCAAATGTGTCACTTCAATGTGCTAATACTATAGAAGCAAAGAATTTGAGATAGCATTCTGATAAGAAAATATGTGACGAAAAGCTTCGTCACCTCGTGGATTCTTCTTAATGGAAAGCAATAGATCAAAAATTTCCTCAATTCAGTAGTGAGCCAAGAAACATTTGGGTTGGGCTTTGTAATGATGGAATTAATCTATATAATAATCTTAGTACCACACACAGTGCTTGGTTGATTCTCCTAGTAATTTACAACTTGCCTCCTTGGTTATGTATGAAAAAAAAGTATATCATGCTATCTTTAATAATCTCAGGGCCAAAACAGCTGGGAAATAATATTGATGTGTATTTGGCACCTTTGATTGAGGACTTGAAGAAATTATAGGAAGAAAGTGTTGATGTATTTGGTGCATATAAACAAGAGATCTTCAATTTACATGCCATGATCTTCACTGTAACATCTTGAAGATTTTAACCTGGTAGATAAGGGAATTAAGATGGACCAGGGACTAGTTAATGTAGAGGGGACATGGTTCTCCCAAGTTTTGAACAAAAACCCAGATAGTGGCTGGGCTAATATTTTAAAATATTAGTTGAAAAAGATTTGATTGGGAAGTTAGATTAGAAATTCCCAAAAATTCCTAAAAAATCTTGTAAAATAGAATTAAGGGTCAAGAAAAAGTATTTGAGGCCCCAAAGGAATTATTGAAATAAAAATAAATTAATATAAAATTTTCTACATTTTTAGCAATTTTTGGTTACACTAAGTAATAGTAACCCAAATTAATTATTTAAAATATTTAGAGGCTCAATAATTCTGAAAAAAATATGGAAAACTTTCTTAGAAGATTGTCATAATTTATAAAATTGTTCCTGATTTCAAATAATGAGTAGGTTAGCCTTAATAATATTTAAAGGGAATTATTGTTGGTAGAACATCAGTTTAGCTAGAAATAGAATTTAGAAGATTTTAGAGTGAATTAAATTCTGAGAAAAATCATTAAACTTTCCTACACTAAGAGAAGGTTAATAATGCATTGAGATGAATTTTCTGAGAATAATCGGGGAAGTGTATTTTTCTACAAATTTTTTCAGGTCAAATGGCTCATATATCACTCCTAAAATGGCCCATTTACAGGGAAATAAAAATAAAATGGGTTTTTTAGAAGGTGATTAAGAGGAATTAATCATGATGATTAAGGAAGTTAGCCAATATTAGGCTAATTAATCTTGACATGATATAAGCATGTGACATCATCACCATGACATCATGCGGACAAGTGATAAGATCATGTTCTTGAGGCATAGGATTTGTCCATTATTTTCATTTTGTTTTCTATTATTTTTGGAAAAAATGGAGGGCTAGGATTTGTCCACCCACCCCTTGTAATTTTGTTGAAATTCAAGAGTTAAGAGTTAATCAAATTGCTATAAATACACCCTCCTACACTTATGAATTTCAGCCAAGAGGGAACCTTTGAGGAGACCTTGTTGCTATTGAAACAATACAATAAAATATGCCCTCCCATCACCATACCCTCCTTATGACTCCTTGACATGGACCCAGTCCTTATGTACTAAGCAACCCAGCCAAAGTTCACCCTACTTATATCAAGTGAAAAGGCCCCTTCTACACCTAAGTCGCCCAGCATGGACTATGGTGTAAGAGGTATCTACCTAAGAACTCTATCTCAATTATGGGCTATGGAAAAGGAAGAACTATGATTAGTAGTGTAAGTATGCCGTGTGGACTTCAAGAACAATTATCCACCACATAACAAATCCCAACCTCCATATATGAACCTCATGCATAGTAACAATATAAATTAAAAATATCAGAGTTCTTTAAACAATGTACAACATATTTTCATTTTCTTTAATAACATAATATTAGTATATCAAATTCAGTAAAACAAGAAAATAGAATTTCCAATAAAATACAACCCATGCATAATTAGATCAACATACTTCCCACTTCACCAAAATTTGTTGTATAAGAAAATACATACTTTATTCATAGACATACTTTCACAAATTAATTTGAGAAAATAAAAGCATAGTAAACACTTTACGATCCAAAGCATAAATATAAAATAAATTAATCTTGATTACCTCAACTTGAAGTTTAACTTTACTTGAGAAATAAGAGTACGAATTACAAACTCTAAAACACAAAATAGTCTACACAACAATATAGATACAATTTAATATATAGAAATAAATAACTTAATTATATAAAACTTATTATTAATATATATTTACTACCCATAATTCTAATTCTAAATTAAAATTTTCAATTATTTATTCTAACATCGTTTAAAATTTTTCTCACTGCAAACAATCATTTAAACCACAAGTTTACCTAAAATTTTATTTTATTTAATTGTATAAAATTCTAATTTGTAGGTTAAGTTTCAAACTTCAAAAATTCTCTAATAACATATCCTCAGCATTTTCAACATTCTAAACTGATTAAAATCTTAATAATATATCAAACAACTCAAATAAATTATTTAACTCAAATTTAATCAGTACAAGTGTCATATATATATATATCTGAAATAAAAGGTTTTCAATTAAAATTTAATTTAAAGTTCTAAAAGCAACAAATGGATAAATATAAACTGATTAAAATTAACTACTCATTTATCTTTAAATTTTTATGGTCATCTATTATCAAAATTCAATACCTACTCCATATCTGAATCCTAATATTTTCTCTAATCACCATAATAATATACCCATGAGGTAGATCTAGTTGAGTAGAAAAATTTTCATAAAGGAAGTTTTGTGATTAGGAGTAGTTTTACCTACCAAAAATAAATACTAAAGCTTAAAGGAGGAGAAAAATGAAGGAGGACGAAGAGGAAAACGCATTTTCTGCAACATGTAATATAGTTAGGAGCATAGCACACCTAATGACCCCATGTGATAATTGAGACAATTAAGGTTTACGACCCTTTGTAAAAAATGTTTTTTATAATCCTTTTATTTCAATAAATCATGTTTTAGGTAAATCCTCTTTACCCAAGTAATTACATGGTAAAATTTCATTTATCATGAACTAATTTTTCTTTTTCAAATATATTTAAATCATAGGAATAAAAATTAGGATGTTACATGTAGCGTACATGAAGATACTGGGATGAATGTATAAATTATGAGTAGTCATGTTTAGCCTTGGCCTTTATTAGGGTTTAGAGTTAATTAAGCTTTGACTAGCAAGAAAAATTGAGCTATTGAGTAGTTGAAATCGGAAATTTGAGGCTTAGAAATACTAAGATTGATGGTTGGAGGTCATATCTCTAAACCTTTTTGAGTACACTTGGAAATCGGGCATTTTCAAGGGTCAAATGATCTTACTTTTAAGTGATTCATTTTGTATTGGAAAATAGACATCTCAAGCCTTCTAAAGAGGCTTAGTTTGTAATTTTTGGAGATTGATAGAGCTAGATATGAATTTTTGAATTTGGCCCTTTTTGTCTGTGTCGTTTGTTAGATGTTCGCTGTAGTGAACAAAATAGAATGGTAATTATGTTGTTTGCTAGATGTTCACTATAGTGAATGCAATAAAATCTGGTTTTATGAACCAGTTGGCAGCTGCCAAAAACAAAGGGGAGTAGGAAGAAGATTGATTGGGCTCTGTGAGGGCTTCACTGTTTGGCCTTTTAAGAGTGTTTTTGAGCTTCTTAACACTCAAGCAAGCTTCCTAGACTTGATTTTTGACCCTTTCCTCTTAGATTTTCAGATTTTTGAATAGTTGGATCTTGAGGTTTCTTGAGGATTGCAAATTGGGGTAAACTTTGACCGATTAATTTGAGTTTAAATGGTTTAGATGGGTTAGATTAAGTGTTTGATCGGTCTAGATTTCTTGTATTTGGAGTTTTGAAGATTTTGAGGTTAGGTTTATGATTTCTTGAAGTTTTTGATGGATAATGATAATGTAGATATCGGAAATGAGTTTTGATGATTGGGTCATGCTAATATGAGTTAGAATTGTTGATTAATCAGTTTAGATTGTTGATAGAACTAGAACTGCTCAAATGAGTATTTTTGAGGTTGAAGCCTAAGTGTGAAATTGGGATTTCTGATTGAATTGCATACTTTGAGGTTAGTGAATGGTTTAGAGGAGTTATTTGTGCTATTGGGGTCCCAAGTTTAGTTTTGGATGGATTGATTTGTGGCTGTGGTGAGATTTGAGTACTTAGAGGATTAGGATCTCTAATTATTGTACATACCCACTCAAGTAGTTATGTTTTGACTTTGTGGTTGCGCTGTGTTGTGTAGACCATTTGTGAGTTGTGACTTGGACCCGAAGAAATTTTCTTTGACTTCAGGCCTTTGGCTTTTCTTTAGATGTGAATGTTTTAAAACTGACTTTCAATATATCAGCCAAACAAGTTTATGCTAAACTAACTTTCTTTTTTTCTTTTTTTGGTTAATAAAAGCCTATCCAAATATAAATTACATTATGCTAATTAACTTTTATCTCAACTTGAGTTTGCAAATCCCAGTTAAAATAAAAGTCACTTTTGCCAATGTTAATTCAAACAAGCCCCGATCATCCAAAAAGTAGCTTTATAATTGACTGCAGCTATGTTGTTCGGCGTAAAATGCTGTCTGAACTACCTTCTGAAATCATGTTAATTGTGATGCTTGCCCTTCATCATCCTAAATGTCATTAAATTTTGTGGCCAAGTGGGACGACATTAAGTTTTATGCTGCTACATCGACCCATATTCTTGTTACGTATGTGCTGAGTTACAAGCTCATTTCAGGTGGCATAATCACCCAGACCCGCTTTAAGTCTTGATCAGATGCGAAGTTTTTGGGGGATGGCGATTGTTGCAACCCTCTTTTGAACCAACCAGCATTGGCTAGTTACAAGGAGGAGGCTGAAGATGAAGTGAGAAATAAAAGAAACGGGGTTCAAAGTCAAAACTTGTATCCTACAGAGTTATTCCTGGTAGAAAATTTGGCTTCCCCCACAGAATCTATTAAAAGAAACCCCATCAATGGTTATTGTTAAATTATACTCCTCCGAAGGTTGTCCCGAGAAGCCTAGCTATGACTTATGACAATAGTCCTTCCATCATTAGGAGGAGAACTCACAGTAATTAAAAGCAACCCCTAAAGCTGTATGTCTTGGTGTGAATATTTTACACAATTTGAATTCGATCGTTGCAGGGTGGTGTCACGTTGTTCATGTATAAATCAATTACCTCTGCCAGATCTCTTCAAAGTGCTCTGAGTCAATGCACTAAATAAATTTTAAATCCCATTATACTGTACAGCGTTTTTTATTTCGGCCTTTTTTTATACTGTGTCATTTGGCCTTAACTTCAAATGCATTGATCATATGCTTGAGCTCTTTCTCAATTATCTTCTCTTTTCTCAAACCTCCACCACACAAAGGACCCTATAATAGGTTCATGCCATTTGCCGACACTGGTCCAATGTTACCCAAATTAAAAAAAGCAAAGGATATTCTTTTAATTTTTGTGATCAGCATTGTACATTACGATACATCCGGCTTTTTGTGCTTAAAAGTCAGAATTGTGTTTTGACGATATTTGTTTGCTGACCTAACAAAAAACAGAACTGTTTCGGAGTTAGTTGTTGTGGATTAGATTAAGATAAGATATAGCTCCTTCCCACTTACCTTTCCTTTAAAAGTAAATGATAAAACCCTCCCATTGCTCTCGTCCTTGTTTCTTTACAGGTTCAACCACCACTCAATGCACTTTACTCATCTACCTTCTTTCAACCACCCCATACAATTTCACTCTTTCTCATTCAACTCTCTCCCCCTCACTCACACTACTTCCACAAAATCATCTGAAGAAGTAAAGAGTTACTGTTTCACCCTTTTACAAGGCTCCCTCAACAGCTATTTTTAAGGTCCTTGACTACTTGTATTACATCTACACAAAATAAGATCACATTGTTTTTCAGTTTGATGTAGCTTTATGTCTTGCTATATTGATATTGCTTAGAAGATTGCATTATTTCTTTTTGCCCTTGTTCTTGCTCTTACTTTTATTCTTGTTGGAACATTTGGACCTATTTTAAGTTACAAAAGCTGTGGTGCTGTGGCTGTCATAGCTGAAAATGTAAATGTTGGCTAGTGTGGGATTAATTAATTTCAGATCCATAGGGACAATACATTTCTTATAGCAGCAAGAAGCCAAATTTTATGTTTGAATTCTAATCCATCTAATTGGCAGTGGGTCAACGACTCAAGGCTAACTTAATTTTACTTGATTCTCGCCCATGCAGTGGATAAATAATTAATATTCCATGGGTATGATAAATCACACGCCACAGATCCAATCCTTCATCCGTAATTATCATTATCTATGTCTGTTTTAGTGTTTCTAAAAATATAGAACTTGACTTTAAGAAAAAGGAAGAAGAAAGAGAAATATTTGGCATATGGTTATATTGTCTGGCATAACCAAAATTCAGAGGTTTCATTTTTTATGGATTTTATAAACAGTTTCAGTGAAAAAGTAGTTGGATGGAGACAACAGCTGATAATGCTAGCTTCAGCAAGACAGAAGCCACCAAAATCACGACAGTAGACCTGTTTCTGATCCCGACAACTGCACAATTGTCACAATTACAGGCATGGAACTTGAGTTTCACAAAGCTGCAGTGGAAGGCAACATCAATGTCTTTAAAGAGAAGGGTGAGCCAATTGAGTCCATACTAACCCCAAATAAAAATACAATCCTTCATATACACTTCACGAAGTACACTGACAGTGTTTCAGAGAAATTTGTGGAAGAGGTTTTACATATGCGTCGTGCACTTCTTTTGAAGACCAATGGGAAGGGTGGTACCATACTTCATATAGCAGCAAGGTATGGACATCATGAAATAGTGAAAAAATTATTTGCTTGTGCTAGAGACTCTGATATTTATGAAGTTGGAACTGAGAAAAGACCTACAAGAGCAACAAATAATAAGAAGGACACGGCCTTGCACGAAGCAGCTCGTTATGGTCACAATGAAGTGGTTGATGTCTTAATAAAGGAAGAACCTGATCACACATATTTTGATAAAAATGTTGATGATGAAACTCCACTTTATATTGCTGTTGAGAGACAAAATTGGGACATGGTAGATACATATTGGATCAGAGTAGTTCACCACAATATAATGGCCCTAATGGCAGAAATGCTTTGCATGCTGCAGTCCTTCATGGTGACACAGGTATTTTATTGTATGACTTTGTGATTTATCATCTATAATAATTAATCTTTCATTTATATACCTAATTTCCTAGGAATAAAACGACAACAACCAAAATTAATTAACATGCTTAAACTAACTTTTCTTTAAAAAAAAAATGAAATAACAACTGATATAAACTCTTTGAAATAATTTAACAGAATTGTTACTGATTATTTTAGTAAAATTATGATAGTTAAGATTGAAATTAACACTCCAAATTTGAAGAGTGTTCATGTGAGAAAGTAGCTAATTATTTTTAGATGAAATGGATGGTGTCTAATTTGATGTTATCTATATATGACAGGACAAGTGCGGAAGTTGCCGACAACAAATTTATTAGCGGCAAAACAAGCAGATGAAAATGGTTGGGTTCCCCTTCACTTGGCAGCACTTTGTGCCCGTCCAACGGTGTTAGAATTGTTGGTAAGCAAAGATAGAGGCACGGCATACATGAGGGATAACAAGGGAAGGACGGCTCTTCACTTTGCAGCACTTGCAGATTCAGTTAAGATGAGAACGGTATTAAACTATTGTCCAGATTGTTATGAATTGGTGGATGAAAAGGGCTCAAATGCTCTGCATTACATTACAATGGGAGAAACTCATTCCCTACGACTACTAAGACAAATTATACAGGATACACCGCTAAGCAACTTGTGCAATGAGAAGGATGATGATGGGAACACACCACTTCAGCTTCTTGCCCGTCAAGCTCCCAAACGGAATCGTTATCATCCTCTTCTGGATCTACAATTCCCAAAAGTGGACACAATGGCATGCAATAAATATGGTCAAACTGCTCTCGATGTCTGTTGATGTTGTGTCTCCAAATTCAGCTGATGAGGTAACAAGAAATAACATCTAGCTAGTTATTAAAAATTAAAAAAGAAGACGCACAATATAAGGATTCATTTACTATATTTGTTTTGATATCTTGGGCATTGGCATGCACGCATCTACTTTTCCTAAACACCATGGTATCACTGCCAAAAAAAAAAGCACTTTTAAGAGTGACAAAAAAAAATTTCTTGTTGAAAGTTTCAATGATGACTTTTTTTGTCGTTGTTGAAAATAACACTTTCAGTAGTGATTTTTCGAGTTACTGTTGAAAGTCTTGATAGATAGGTTATCAAAAAGTCTTGATAGATAGGTTATCAAAAAGTTACCGTTTAAAGTTAGACTTTTAGCAGTATTTTTTTGTCTTCACCAAAAGGCAATACCTTTAGCAGTGACATTTTGAGTTGCCACTAAAGCCTATATTTTTAGTAGTGACTTTTTATAGTCATTGATGAAGCTCATATTTTGAGTAGCGATTTTTTTCTGTTACTGCCAAAGATCATGCTTTTAGGCAGCAACAACATTTTCAGTCACCCCTAAAGATAAGACTTTTAACTACAATTGTTTTTATGAAAAATGAGTATAAATGTTTTTATTTTTTGTTTAGATATAATATTTGACATATTAAAATACGAAATATATTATTTATCATAAATAAATAAAATAAGGTAGTGAGTTTCTATTTTCATAGAAATTTTATGCGTAAATTGATACTTTAATTTAAAATAAGTGATACATCCACACAATTAAATATTAAATCAAATGAGATTTTTATTGCCTCTCACGCCTGAACTAAGATAATCCTATGAATATATTAGATATAATCACATTTTTTGTCGAAATAATATTTTTTTAATAGTATCTTGAAATATAATACGTATCATATAATATAATATTTAATTTTTTGTTGATTTATACTTAAAAATAAATATCATAAGAATTAAAAACATGTTATAAATTTTATCAATAATGTCTTAAAAAATTATGCAATACAATTTTTTTAATTATTTTTGTATATTAAAAATTTATCTTTATATCTATAAAATATATTTTAACTCATTTACTAATATTTTATATGAATATTAAAAATATGACATAAAAAATTAAAATCATGATTTTATAGTAATTATATTAATTAATATATATGTGCGTGTTAACCTAAAAATTTGCGTTTAATTATTAGATTTATTTATATCATACATATTAATAAAGATTTATATATTATGAATACATAATGTAAACAATATGCATAGAATTACCCCGACAAACAATACACTCGCATCATAACAAGTAGGTTTCGGGTTCGAACCTGGGTGCTGACAACTTGCGAGAAAATAAGAAGTGGCGTTACAAGTGATGTGGTGGCATGACGTAAGAGTGATGTGGTAGGGTGATAGGCGTTGATGACATGGTATTTTTAGGAAAAATTACACACAGGTCCCACATAACAGAATTAATTTAAATAAGGTCCTTGAAAATCCCCAAATTCTTCCTAAGTCCCCAGGGACCTCAGAGCAAATAACTGAATTTGTGAAATGACTGAGTTGCCCTCACTGATTGAAAAAGGAAAAAACAGACGAAGAGAAGCTCATTGGTTTTCAGTTAGTGTGCTGGGCTATTAGCATGCACAAGGAAGAGAAGCTTCTGAAAGAAGAAACGGAGGTCTGTGCTGGTGCTCCATTATTGCAGGCAAGCTATATTTTTCTTCATCTTCTCCATCGGTCTCATCATTAACAGCATTTCTCTTCTTTCGTACACAAGCAGTCTGAAGTTTAATGTTGGTTTGAAAAGTTGCTTGGCTGTGGGTATGTGGGTATTAAGGATGTGATTCAACTCACTACAACTATCAAGGGAGGCTCATTTTAGTCATATGTGGTTTTAATCATCTTAGGTGTGGTTTTGTTATGTGTAGCTAGGGTTATAAAGCAAAGCTCTGTTTTTCGGTGAATGCTACTCTGTTTTTTGGTCATTGATGCTGTGTTGGTGATGAAAATGAATGGAAAATAACATTTTTATTGCTGTAATTCCTGTAATGCGATGGTTAAATGTCTTGTTAATGGGCACATTGAAGGTTGTTAATATAACTGTATGACTTGTTATTTACGAGTGATTGTGACAGGTTGATATGAAGGATGACAACTTCAAGTAGGAAACATTTGTTTTGTTACCTCCATATAGGAGGACAATTTATTAATGGTGTGAAAGGTCAAAAGTAGTATGTTGGAGGTGGTTTGAAAACAAGAATGATAAAGGAATGGACATCATATGAAGAATTTAGATCAATGGTAGCATCAATTGTGGGAGAAGAAAGTAATGGAATGGTTATGAAATTCACAGTAACTTTTGATGAGTGTACATTTGTGGACCTTGTAGTTGATGAAGGAGTGGAACATTTGATTAACTTCAATAGTGACAGTGGTCATGTATATATAGGAGAAAATAGAGATCAAAATTCACAACTAACAAGGGATGTTCCAATAGAAGAGCAACATGTGTAAGTTATATTATTTAAATTTCGAAGTAATGTTAGCTATTGTCAATTGTTGTGCATAAGTTGTTATTACAGTGATTGAAGGTTGTCATTAACGACCCCATGACCTGTCCTGTTATGTAGGATGGAAGACTTGTTCGGAGGTTCAGATGCATTCTCTATGTCTCCACCCAATGTGGTTAGTGAAGACCCACTATCATTGCCATAAGGTTTAGAAATGATACCAACCGCAATTCCGGAAATAAATTCAACAAAGTGAAAGGGTTTGGTTATTGGAGAAGGACAAATTTTTCCTAATGCAGTGGCCCTTAGGCAAGCACTATATAAGTACAACATTGCTAAGAACTTTTTATACAAATCTGTGAAGAACAATCAACAAAAGATCATTGTGAAGTGTATGACGGAGGGATGCTTGTAGTACATGGGTGTATACTCAATGGGACAAAGACAAGATTCTGAGTTCTTAATAATAAAAACATTAAGAAGTGAGCATGTGCATTATGCATAGGACAGCTTGGTTGTATCTCACAGTGGAAGGTTAGACTTAACATCATCAATCATGATAGATTCTTTGAGGTGTACTATAGACAAGAATGCTAATGAAATTAGAAGAGATTTGTATGGAGAATATGGGGTGTGACTGAATTATAGTCAAGCATACAAGGGTAGGGAAAGAGCATTGAGGGAAATACATGGTCGTGCACAGGATTCATACATGGTCATCCCCTAGATTTGTGAAAGGCTTATTGAAACTGATCCAAACACAGTTGTTCAATGGGAAGGGTTGGATAGTAACAAATTTGAGAGGGTGTTCATTGCTTATAGATGCTCAATTAAGGGATTTTTATAAGGGTGTCAAAATATACTCTATATAGACGGATGTCATCTAGGTGGTCCTTATAGGGGAACATTGATTTTAGCTAATGCATATGATACGGACAATGAACTGTTTCCATTAGCATATGCTATAGTTAGCGGGGAGACATATGATGATTGGGCTTGGTTTATCCAGATTGTGAAGGACATCACAAGATCAATGGAGACAACGATAGTTTCAGATCGAATAATGCCATTATAGGTGCTGTACAGACAGTATTTGGTGGTGAGAGATATGCTTTTTGCTACAGGCATGTGAAAGAAAATTTTAGTGCACATTATTTAAAAATTAATCGAGGCAGGGCATGAGTTTCAGGTACTTTAAAGGAGGTCACATTGAAAATGCTGGATGGAATCGCCTACGCAAGGATTGAGAATGAATATATTGCTGCAATGGGGAAACTTAGATAATTTTGTCCATAATTAGCTGATTGGGTTGAGACTTAAGGAGATGTAGATTGATGGGCTTTAAGCAAATTTCTGTTTAAGTGATGGGATAACATCACCACTAATGTTGCGGAGTCGTATAATGCCTCAATTTTAAAGGAGAGGAAGCACAATGTGTCAGTTCTCATACATGAGCATATGGAGAAATTAGCGAAGAAGATGGTTGCAAGAAAAATGGTAATGGGAAATTGGACAAATGGTATTGGGCCACATATTGAGTCGAAGTTGGAAGAAAAAGTAGCAAGAGCGGAGAATATGCACTGTGTATATTATGGAGATAACTGAGTTCAAGTTCATACTACATCTCCTACTGGAATAATTT